ATAAATATCTTTATGAAATGTTCCGACGAAAGAGAATAGTGTTTTATGAGGCCCGGAAAAAAAGTCAGCTTTTGCAAGTCTTTGCCACGACGGGCGCGAGCGACGCAAAAAGACAAAGGTCCTGAAGAAGCGCCGAGAAACTAAACACTTTGTAGTCTCCTCGAGGGGAACGAACTCATCTCGGCGCCGCACGCACAGGATAATGAAACACGAGGCGGGCGCGAACAAGGGCGTCCCGCACAAGGGGTTGGGTCCCTCCCCCTCCCTCCCTCTCCCTCCCTCTCCCTCCCTCTCCCTCCTCCTCCTTTCAAACGCAAGAAGCGGGGGAAGACGGAACAAAACTCGCGAAATCAAACGAAGATCTTACAAGACCGCCAGAAGCTCAGCGAAAGTGATTTGCTCCTTGGCGAGACACGGCGCACGAATTTTCTCGATGGCATTATCGGTACTTCGGGCGGGGATGGGCGTCGCCTCGCCAGGGTAGTGCTTCTTCCGGGCTTCTCGCTCGTTTCAGTTCAGTCCAGTTAGATTTGCGAAGTCTGGCTCCATCCGGGCCTTTTTCTAGAGTGGCCCGCCCTGTGTCACCTATTTCTAGTTGCCTCATATGTCGCTCGGTTCCCTGCGGTTCCGTTTTATATCGAAGGGAGGTGTGGCATGCGGCGCTCCTGTAGTTAACTTGTCGCTTAAAATGTCCTGTAGTTGAGGGTAATAGTTGCCAGAATGGATGAAATACTTTGCCTTTATATCTTAATACCTTTTGCGTTTGCATCTGGAGTACCGATTGAATTTATGTACTGATGCAAGGCTTAAGGTTCATAACTAAGAGAAAGCTTTTCTTTATTGTAGAAATCATCACCACATCACCAGACTCATATTGATAGACTTATAAGATTCACATCCTTAGAATCATCACTAGACGCATCATCATAATTTCCATCAGACTCACATCATCAGAATTTTCATCTGACTGACACCATCAGAGTTTTCATCAGACTTACAGCATCAAAATTTTCATCAGACTCGCATCAAAATTTTCATTAGACTCACATCATCAGAATTTTCATCAGACTCACATCATCATTTTTTTCATCAGACAGCATCAGAATTTTCATCACTCACATCATGAGAATCATAACTAAACTCACATCACCTTTACACGTCTATTCCCAAATTGCCACCACATTCCCCCTCCTCGTTACCGCCCCCATTTCCAACAGCTGACACCGCAACTATTACGACAGTCGATCCTTCTACCTCATAAACACCCTCACGCCCACGCCCCTATCCCCAGAACCGTGTCCCCTGGCCTTCAAGAAAGTCTTCAAGCAGTGTATCCACATCAGTGCGGATATGTTGCCCTGGGCTGAAGCGAGGACGGCGTGTAGATACTTCGGCGGCGACCTGGCAACACCGACGGATGTGAACGAACTGAAGGAGTATATCAACACAAAATCAGGTAATAAGCTTACCGTCTGTGAGCAAAAACAACGAAGGGCAGGGAGAAACAACCATTAAGACAGTCTTTTCGGTTTTTATTGGTCTTTCAGGGTGATAAATCGAAGAGACCGTTGGTATTAGTCGTGCGTTTTCCTTCCTTCTCTTCGTTGTTTTATTTATAACATGTAATCTTTATAATATGTAATCTTTCTTCTTTCTCTTTCAACTGACTTGTCATCACACACGAGTTCAGTTAGATTTGCGAAGTCATGCTTCGCCCGGGCCTTTTCTCTGGAGTGACCGGCCTGTGTCAACTATTTCCAACTAACTCATGTGTTTTCTTTGAACTGCATGCTTATCGTGGTGGCATCACACACGAGTCTCTTAGTCTCTACTATAGTAATACCAAATACTGCGTCTCTGAGAATGACCTGACAATATTGTTAAACATTTAAGAGATCAACACGTTAGTTCCAAAAGCAATAAGGATAATTGGGCAGTTGAATAACAGCTTGGTAACAATCGGTTATTACAAGAATTAATGATGTAATGCTCATATATGGACAGCGTGAACTACAATTAAATATTATATCCAAAATAGCAACGGATACTCATTCCATCGCATAAAAACAGGATATCAACTTGATTTTATTGTAGTCCCAAATGTTGGCTTAACATTAAAACGCAATAAAGTATTGTGGCTCTATAGTGCAGGTTCTCATTTATAAAATTCGCTATATGCAATTCTAATCCGACAAACTGCCAGAAAAGACAATTCAATTTTACATGCGCATTTCACGAACGCCAATGGCCGAAATAAAAGTTTTATCCACACGAAAATCACTAGGTGGAAAATGTCTAAAATGAAGGTCTTATTTTCTGGCTGATTTTTTCTTTCTTTCTTTCTTTCTTTCTTTTCTTAAGGTCTTGAAATCTAAGTAGAAAAGATGCCGATCTTTTATTTCCTTGCCCCCTTGCCCACTTACCCCCCTAATCTTTTCCTTTTTGCTTCCCCCCCAGTTCCATCTTATCCTCATGCCTAATTTACATACTTACTCCCTTGCCCCTTTGCCCAATTTCTCCCCATGCCGACTAACTCCTTATCTCTTGTACTTCCCCCTCCTCCTTCCTTTCTCATGCCCCTTACTTTTTTTTTTTGCTGATTGTTCACTTGTCTCTCTGTCCAATTCCTACGCCACTCACGCCTTTGCCTCTTAATCCCTGTACCTCATACCCCCTCGCTCCTATACCCACATCACCCTTGTCCCCATACCCACCTCATCCTCTTACCTACCCACTTGCCCCCTTATATACACCCACTGCACCCCTCTTGCCCTCCCCTCCATCACCTCAACCTCATACCCACACACTACCCACCCCTTTACCATAACCTCCCCCCTCTCCTACCTACCCATACCCACACACTACCCACCCCCATTACCCACAATCTCCCCCCTCTTCCCTACCACCCCCATACCCAAACCTCCTCCCCCCCTAATTTACCCCCTTTCCCCCTCCAGACGCAAAATACCTCCCCCCCTCCCCCCTATCTTTTAACCGCCCCCAAACGCGAAATACCTCCCCCCCCCCCTTTCTTTTAACCCCACTTCCCCCCCCAGACGCCCCCTCCAGACGCAAAACACTTCCCCCCTCCCCCTATCTTTTAACCCCCAGACGGAAATACCCCCCCCCCAACCCCCTTCCCCCCAGACGTCCCCTCCCCCTATCTTTTAATCCCCCAGCGCAAAATACCCCCCACCCCCCCTTATTTTAACCTCCTTCCCCCTCCAGACGCAAAACACCTCCCCCCCCAGACGTGAAATATCCCCCCCTCTTATTTAACCCCCTTTCCCCCTCCAGACGCAAAACACCTCCCCCCTCCCCCTATCTTTTAACCCCCCCCCGACGTGAAATATCCCCACCCCCCTCCCCTCTCTTTTTAACCCCACACCCCCCCAGACGCGAAATATCCCCCCACACACACCCCCAGACGCGAAATATTTATTTATTCAACCCCCTTTCCCCTCCAGACGCGAAATACCTCTGGGTGGGCGGGACCGACGCCGATGACGAGGCAGCTGGCGGTGGCTGTCGGGTCGTGCCGTCAACGCCTCCCATTGGATCCCCAGGAAACCCGACGGAGGCAGACAGCAGAACTGCCTCTTGCTGTCTGCCGCCCGCACGCCCCCGCTCGATGACTACTTCTGCTCCACGGCCTTCTATTACGTGTGCCAGTACGTAGGAGTGGGGGGAGGGTGAGAAGGAGTGGGAGAGGGGAGGGGAGAAATGGGAGTGGGAAGGGGGAGGGGGAGAAATGGAGTGGGAAGGGAGGAGGAGGGAGAGTGGGAAGGGGAGGAGGAGAAATGGGGGAAGGGGAGGAGGAGTGGGAGGAAGGGGAGGAGAGGAGTGGAAGGGGAGGAGGAGTGGGAGGAAGGGAGGGGAGGGGAGAAGGAGTGGGAGGGGGAGGAGGAGTGTGGAAAGGGGAGGAGGAGAAGGAGTGGAAGGGAGGAGGAGAAATGGAGTGGAAGGGGAGGGTGAGAAGGAAGGAAAGGGGGAGGGGGAGGAGGAGTGGGAGAGGGAGGAGGAGAAATGATGGAAGGGGAGGGAGAAAGGAGGAGGGAGGATGGAGTGGGGGGAGGGTGAGAAGGAGTGGGAAAGGGAGGAAGGGGAGGGGGAGGAAGGAGTGGAAGGGGAGGAGGAGAAATGGAGTGGGAAGGGGAGTGGGATGGAGTGGAAAGGGGAGGAGAGTGGGAGGAAGGGGAGGAGAGGAGAAGGAGTGGGAAGGGGAGGAGGAGAAATGGAGTGGGAAGGGGAGGAGGAGTGGGAGGAAGGGGAGAGGGGGAGAGAAGGAGTGGGAGATGGGGGTGGATAAGGAGTGGATTGAGAAGGAGGAGGAGAAGGAGTAGGAGGAGTGGTGTGGGAGAAAGAGAGGGAGAGGGAGGAGAAGGAGTGGGAGGAAGGGGGGAGGGGGAGAAGGAGGAGTGGTGTGGGAGAAGGAGGAGGAGAAGGAGTGGGAGATGGGGGTGGAGAATGAATGAGAGTAGGAGAAGGAGGGGGAGGAGGAGGAGGATGTAATTATTGGTATTATTGTTAGTATTGCTACAGTTGTTATTACGATTGTTATAATTTTATTACTGTTTTGTTATTGTTGTCATTTCTATCATCATATCATTGTCATCATCACTATAAATAGGAGTATTGATAGTGATAATTTTTAATGATTTTATGGTTATAATAATCATCATCATTATCATTATTGTTATCATCATGATCTTTTCTTCTTCATCTTTATCATTTTCATCCGCATCATTATCATTACCACCGTTATTAACACCATTATCACAGTCGCCATCATCATTATTATCACCACCATCATCTCTACCATCGTGGTCAACACCCTCATTATCATTATCACCACCCCATCATTATCGCCACCATCATTTTTATCACCACGCCACCACCATTTTCATTTTTATCATCATTGTCATCACCAACGTCATTATCATTATCACCACACCACCCTCATTATCATTATCATCACCATCATTATAATTACCACCACA